ACGGAGTGGCGTGGGAGCCCGGGGGGGGGGGGGGGGGGGTACTCATAGTCGTGCATGCCGTAGTCGTTAGACCATTGACCTCGCATCCCTACAAAGCCGGGCCGCGTTCTCACCGGACCAGGCTCTCACATCACCAAGCGCGAAGCGCCGTGAGGAATTCGGCGAGTCGCATGAAGGGTGCGCTGCATCCTGCTAAGGGTGTTCGGCATCTTGTGCTTTCTTCCTCGCGTACGGATGACAGCTGCGTATGACTTAATTTATTTTCAGGTGCTTTCACTTCCAGAGACAGTTATAAGCACTGTGAAACTGCCTCGAGGATGCTTGACCATTCTAACACAACGTGGTGCGATCATCCCCCTTGCGGGAGCGAGGGTTCTCGACCACGCACAACATGATCTACTCGACCACCATTATGGTTACCGCAAAAAAAAAACAGAGGTAAAAAAAAAAACGTAACCTGGTTGCCGAGTTCACGAAGTGAATTGGCTTGTTTTACAACGTCGTTGCCAAGCAACGAAAACCCAACCCCGACGGCAAACACCGGGGGGGGGGCGCGCGGGGGTGGGGGTGTACTCATGTTTTGCATGACTTAGTTGTTAGACCATTGACCTCGCTTCCTCGAGGGGATGGAGCATTGTTCCTACAGCACCGATCGCCGATGGGAAATAGTTCCTTCCAATTTTGCCAAAGGTGGCTCAAAGGTGTTTTCCTATCCTGTCTATCACTTCCCGCCGGTTAAGCCCACTTCCTATGCCCCAGTGTAACTGCCTTCTTCCTGGCCATCCCATGCCTTAAACAATTCTCTGTAATCTTCTTTCTATTTTTCCCAGTTCAGTCATCTTCTTCTCGCAAAACGGACGTCCAGCAACTACATGAACCGCTTGTCTCGGAGCCGCATTCACATTCGAACTTGTCCTCCTCTCCTTCGTGTACATTACTATATTTCGGTGTACCTTCTCGAAGACCGATTCAATGCCCCCAGTCCTAAATCTGACCTTCAGCTTTGACCCTGTCCCCATTGGCCCATGCAAGTACTTCCTATTCCTTCTTTCAACTACCGAACACATCTACACACTCCTATCCGTGGTTTCAATCTGTACATTTCGCCCTTCCCTCTTGGCAAATGCAGCAGATATCGCCTCAGTTCTTCACCATCTCTAGGCCTATCGTTTCCAACGTATCAAATTTCGATCCCTATCATACTTTCTCCGCAACCTTCGCCCACTTTGTGAGTTGTCTACCCTTGCCTTGTTCCCACTCCGCCTCCCAAGCTATTTTCTGTTTTCGGCAACCTCTCGTCTCCCATATCGTGCACACGGGACTGCCATTTTGGCTTTTCTTGAAGCTCTTCTCGTTCGTAGGGATTGGACCCCAATTTGCCCTTAAAAACTGCTGCAATACACACTACTTGTGCGCTTCGAGCATCCTAGGATGATCTGCACTGCTTTCATCTGCGACTCGAGCTCTGTTTACACTCTTCATATTTCCTCTTCTTATTTCCTTCCCGTACTTCCGGCGTACCCTAGCGGCGGGGCGACTACGCTCGTTCAAGAATGTCAATTTGATTCGCGTATCCCAGGTACCCGTTTGCAAGTGTTGGGTGCAGCTTCCCTACTCGCGCTTTGCCCTCGTCCGCTTCTTGGATGTGTGTGCATTCCATCAGGTATAGTCTTTTAGCGGTCTCTACTCCGAGATATGTGTACTGGTCCGCTACTAGAAGTTCCTGATCCCCCACTTCCACCTAGGCTTTGCTGATATTTTCACTATCTTCGTGGCATATCATTATGACACACAACGTTGGCAGACAATCTGCCACAAATCGGTAACATCCTTCGCTCTGTCAATCTGCAGATGAAGTTCTTCAGGCGTATAGCACAACCCAACATCATCCGCGAATAGCGTTCCCGACACTGGAGTCTTCCTATTATTTACTCACTTCCCCAACTGCCTCGACGACTTTTAACACAGCGTTGATGAACACCTTAAACAATGCTGGGGACAAAGTGCAACATCGTTGTGCGACCCCCTGCTCAATGTCAAGACAGCGATTATCTACCTACCATCACGGCGCTTTTCGTACACTCTGTCATCTTCTTCAGCACTCTCTGCATTTCTCCCTTTATCCCATACTTGGGGAGGGGTGGATATTAAGGATCTGTCACCGCAATCTCTGTACCCCAACCTCAGCAAACATGGGGGGTGGGCGTGCTGGGGGTGGCGGGGACAGTCAAGGCCCCAAGGGGACTCTGTACTGCTGTGTGCATACGAATACGTCAACCACAGCAGCAGCATCTTTTCTGGAGGCAGGGGGAAGCGAGGGCAGACCAGATTTCACGCACATCATAACCATAACGCCCTCTTGCGGGGCTTTGGCGTTACGAACCGATGAAGGACGGCACGCGGCAGATGGGCAACGCAAGAAGATGTAACTCGTCGTGCAGTTGTACAGCAGTTGTACACTGCAGAACCAGTATCATCGCAAGTGCGGCGGGATTGCCATACAGTAGCGGCTACGGTTTAAGAGAGGGTCGGTACAAGCCAATTTCACTCTCTTAAATCCGGCTTTCTGTTATATCGTGTTGGCTACGATATAAGAGAGAATTTTCTTAAACAGAATCTCACTTTAAGAGAATTCTCTCTTATATCGTAGACAAAACTGAAGGTCGTGAAGCAGGGGCTCTCGCGCACTGACTACACTCGAATGCCAAAATAGGTCATAAAGAGAGCGTATCATGCATGTCACTTGCGCAGCTAGCGTTACCACGTCGGGCTACCTCCAAACACCGCTCATTCTCTTGGTTGGCAAGCACGTGGACCCAAGCACTGCTGTACGTTGTACGCTTTTGGTGGATCTGCGTTCGGAAAAATAAATCATCGTCGTGTGATGCGATGCACATTTTTGCACGTGGACACGTAAAAGGTTTTGGTTGAGTTGTTTTATAGCTGGGTTTCATAGTTGCACCTCTTCTAGAAGGACAACACGAGGCGACGAATGCACCAGCACTCAAGAACGACGCACCCGTTTACACACTGCACCTTCCTCCCACCGTACCCTCAACATATGTAACACCCTCATACCTCTCATCCCATCGATTTGAACCCCCGACAAAAACACGAGTCAACGAACAAAAAACAGCTTCACAATATCAAAACATCACTCGCCGTACAAATAACACAAACCCAAGAAACCAACGCTACCCTGGCGACCTGTCAGCCTGAACACGATCTGCGCTGCAACCGTCAAAGGAAGTCGCTCATGCACGTCTGCTTGGTTTCCCTCGAACCGTAGGCACTCATCCACGCTAGCTTAGCCTTGCGGAGGTGAAAAGACACTTCGGACATGCGGCACTTCTCGGCAGTATCCTCAAGTTCACCAAAATGATTTGCTACATTCGCGTACGGCGGCGGAGCCGGGGCCGCTGCCGCCGCCGACTGTCCCGATTGGCGTAGCTCAACCAGGTCGTCGTCCTCGTCGTCAGAGGAAAGATCCATGCCCACCAAATTCTCATCACAGAGGTCCTCTACCATCTCTGTCTGTAACGATCGCTTCGGCTACCTCCACGTTGTCCTCTACAGCCTGAAGTCATGCGCTCACGGGAGGAAAGGCAGTTGTGGCAGATGCGATGCATCTCGGAGGTGCCCTGAGGGTCCACCACACCACAGGTGCCATGGAGGTACTGCCTGCAGACTCCTCTACATTGGTGGTTTGTGAACGCCGGCGGGCCTGGCGTGTGATCGGGGACAGCCGTGCAGCGACTGCCCGCCACGCAGGGCATGGTGTCTGCAGCTGTGTGGGTGTGTGTGTCCACGTGGTTTCCACATTGTTCGATTTAAGAGAAAAATCCCAGCTGCAAAAGGAAATTTCTCTTAAATCGATTGTTATTGGTACACGCCAATTCCTCTCTCTTAAATACTTTCTCTTAAATAAGTTCTCTTAAACCGTAGCCGCTACTGTATCTGGATACTGGAGAGAGGTCCAAATCGATTCCGCCATTCGCCGCAATGCGATTACCATGGCCTGCATAGTGCTCGTTTGATTAGCTACAGAGTATTCGATGACTTTGGGTAAAGATCGCGTGTCGCGGCGCGTGTAGTCTATGGCAATTGCGTATCATGCATCAAGTGCAAAATAAAGCGGTTCACGCATACCGGTTGATGTACTGCTGCCGATCAGGAGGTCCCCGAAAATATCCTGTATCCACGCAAAAGGCGAGAGCACAGCGACGATCTCTCCCTCTCCCGATAAGACACCCACTCCCGTTTTCTTGTGCAGTGGCTCGTCTCATACGTGGCGCCGTGCCCAACGATGGCTCTACATCTAGACAGTACACACCACTGGCTTTTTTCTGACACCCATCCGCCGCATCGCTCTCCGTCGCAAGTTGCGGAGCCCCCAGTTGAGTTAGCCTCGGGTTTGTCTTGTTGGTACAATCTCTGGCACATCCATCTCTGGGGCTGATCTAGACGCCTTTTGAGGTGCTTGGTGTTTGCTCATTTCGCTGAAGTTTTGAACGCCATCTCTCCATCACCTGGCCAGATCTAAGAGGGATCGCATGCCACCGCCGTAGTGGGATAGACGTGGAACGGCCCGCTGCTGCTGTGCCGCTACACCCACTGCTGTAACTCTTTCCACTCTTTCCTGACAGGTCGGGGAGGGGGCGTATGTGACCTATGACAACGCGCAAGCGAGTGGAGATGGCGCCTGCTACACCAGACGAGGTGAGGTTGATCTCGTTATCTACGCCATGCAGTCAAACCCGGCCGGAAGAGAAAGTTAAGACTTCCCTTCAAAGGTAGTTCACAAAGAAATTGCGCGAAACATTTTCAAATTTGCGCAGCAGCATCTTCATGATCTTTTCCCCAGCCAGAGTGTGGATACCACCTCACACTAACATCACGAATCCATCTCTATCCACGGATAAGGCTCCAGGATAAATTTGCAATGAATTCATAAAGTCAGCTCTACCTTTTTTGAAACTCCATGAATCTCCTGAACCGTGGTTCAACCTTCACATACATACGTTACGTGCAACAACACCGGCACCATGTCAAGCCGGCACCACGTCAAGATTGAGATTGTGTTCGAAGTGTGTAGCAGAGAGTGCGGCAGGGGTACAGGCTGTTGTTGTTGCGACACGAGCGTATTGCACGTTTGCTTGTGGGTGTCTACGGTAAGCGTCTACCGCAGCGCAGATGATATGGAATCAGCCCCTACTCCAAGGGGGATGTCTTTTCGACCAACCCCTACAGGGTTGCATTGCTGCATCAGGCAGAGGCCCACTCTAGGGACAAAAGTACCAAATGCCCCGTTTGTTTTTTCGTAAATTTCCCTTGTAGACTACAGAGTCAGAGAGATGTCTGTTATGCCTTTGATGGAACGTGTTACCAATCTTGACTGAAGACTCACCATCCCGTAACAAAGTGCTGGTAGGGAGCACGTGGCTCTCTCTCACGCTACGCAGTACAACGGAGGTTGTTCCCGCACGCACAAGGTAGCGTGTCAACACATACCGGTTCTCGGCCTAACCTATAGTAGATAGTCTACAATTGCCACTGTCGACCTGTGGTCGTCGATGGAAGGCGGAGATTCTCTCGTGGCCCGGACAGTGGACTATCGTAGCAAACACTGGTATCCAAAGTCGTTTGTAGTCCATTCCGCTGTTCCGCCAGCCACATCAAGAGAGCGTACTAATGGCAAACCCGATGACCCCCAGTTGTGGGGTCGGAACGTTGCTCCAATTCTACAGGGTGCTGTTCCTTGTTGTTCATTGCACCTCCCAACCATACGTGGCAAGCAGCACGCTTGCAAGATTCATATTTCCCGTCGCAGTATTCAACTGGCCCCGTGGATCAGATATCCTGGCAGTTCTTTCCTCCCTTCCTTACACTTGCTGCAGCGTAAAAGCGTGTGACCCTTGCCTTCGGGTAGGCACACCCTTCCTGCAGTAGCGTTTGGCAACACGTTGGATATGCCCCGACCACTGACCCTTTGTTCGCGGATCGTGCCACCCAACGTATCCGCCCGCTCTGAGGTTTCGAAATTGCCCGTATCTCGCGTGATATCTAGGTCTGCCCAACCCACCCAACCACTCCGCCGCCCATCTACCTATATAGTGCATGTCACGGGGTGTGTGGGGGGTGTACTCATAGTCGTGCATGCCGTAGTCTTTAGACCATTGACCTCGCATCCCTACAAGCCGGGACGGAGCACGCCGGGTTCTCACCGGACCAGGCTCTCACATCACCAAGCGCGAAGAGCCGTGAGGTATTCGGCGAGTCGCATGAAGGGTGCGCTGCATCCTGCTAAGGGTGTTCGGCATCTTGTGCTTACTTCCTTGCGTACGGATGACAGCTGCGTATGACTTAATTTATTTTCTGGTGCTTTCACTTCCAGAGACAGTTAATAGCACTGTGTAACTGCCTCGATGCTTGACCATTTTGACACAACGTGGTGCGATCATCCCCCTTGCGCGGAGCGAGAGTTCTCGACCCCGCACAACATGATCTACTCGACCACCATTATGGTTACCGCAAAAAATAAAACAGAGGTAGCAAAATACGGTAACCTGGTTGCCGAGTTCGCGAAGTGAATTGGCTTGTTTTACAACGTCGTTGCCAAGCGACGAAAACCCAATCCCGATGGCAAACACCGAGGGGGGGGGTTGTTTTACAACATCGTTGCCAAGCGATGACAACCCAACCCCGATGGCAAACACCGCGGGGTGGGTGGGCGTAAGATGCGGGAACGTTAGGGCTCGGAAGGGCTCGACCTATTCGATGCTATGCCTCCCGTCTCGTTTGCCCACACCACTTTGACTGATGTTGGCCTTGGTCGTGCATAGCTTTCGAGTGCAACCCCTCCCCCCTCCTCCTCTCACTCGACCCCTCCTCGCTGTCGCCAATTTTTGTCTCTCCCGTGGCATAGGGACTAATGTCGGGGGGCGAGGGGAAGTCGCCGAAGGCAAGAACCAAGAGACTCAAGAGGACGCCAACAGCAACCCCAAGGAAAAGCCCCTCCGTCCGGGAGGACGGGGACAGCAGTGGTAGCGGAAACTCAAAAATCTTTCATTATTTTGGAGCTGGGTCGCCTGAGAAAGGAACGCCAAGGAAGAAACCGGCGACTTCGACACCTGCCGCTGGTGCAGCAGGGGAAGGTGCCGGAGTACAGTAGCAGCACGTTGTCTCGCTTCTTTTTTTTACAAAGAGCGCGAAAACCCCATCTCTACCACAGGAAAGAGTCCATGGTAGATCGGCAATGAATTTATGGTGCTGTACGGTGACCAACTTACATTTCTACGGTTCCCCGAGCAGCATTCAGCGGTATTTCCCCTGTAGCTATTAGGCTCAAGAGGTACTGTACTAGTGGTAGTAGATAGGTGGCCATCTTTGCGAATCTGACTGTGTTATGCTGGGGAAGTGCTTTGTTTTGCAGGGGGAAGTCGAGGTCGGTGGTTGGCGTGTGCTTTGGTGACATAGTCTTGCTCGACCTCGCGCTGACATGGTCAGAGTTGACGGCCAGTCGTCGTCGTATCTCCCGAGGAATGCCTCCAAGGCGACCGATCGTGGAAAACATGCGCAAATTATATCGGCACGATGAGACCGAGACCTGTCTTCGACAACATTTGCGCACTCCTTGCACCGGATAAGGCCCGGCCGGGCCTCCGGTCGCTGCACCACCACGTTTCGGAGTTCCTTAGTCCTGCAATATTGTGTGTTCCCGTGCTTCCGATCGCGGAACGAAACGGGTGTCCAATTCTGTTTTTTTGCCCCCCCAATGTTGGTGTTTCCGTCCCCTGTGGCAGTTCCTCAGCCGGTACTACGGGTAACCGAACCGGCCAAAACCGTGTCGCCTTCACCAGCGCCGACGTGGGGAAAGCTTGTCGAGCCTCGTAAGCAGCAGCGCTGGGAAATGCTGCGACGTCTGCAAGGCGGAGGCTTGGGCGGGGTTGACCCCACGGCGTGGGCCAGGCGATCATACTCCCTGAGTCATACCCCCGTGTTCCAAGACTTGAGACCCCCAGGTGAGTGGGCGCGGGATCTGTCGTCGTGGGAAGTGGGAACCCGTACCGCATGCTGACTCTTCTGCGGATCATGTGGAATGGTGAATGCAAATGGTTGCGGGTTTACCGGGGTTCTTCCGTGTCGCTGCTCCATCTTTCAGTGTGGGATAGATACCTCATGCGGACTGTACTGTGGGGTATGTTGGACATGTTCGATACGGGCTTGCTGTTTCTTCCGTCGGTGCCCCGTGTTGGATGCGGGATACACGCGAACGGTGGGAATCCACTTGTACAACAGGAGTGATTTGTCGGGAAAACGTGCCGATAGCTTCTTTGAGTAGGCCCACTGGCCGGCGAATCGTTTGGCCCAAGATCTTAGCGTGTTGCACATGTATGTATACCCAGAGAGCGAACTCCCGCTTCTTCGAGAGTCGTGGACTTGTAGCGGTTGGATGTACTGCTTCTTTTTGTTGCATCCAAGTGTGCAGATGGCGAAACGGCACAAACTGCGTTAACAGGCAGCGGCGTGACGTGAGGTTCCGTTTTCTGTCCCGCTACATGTTGACTCCTTGGGCAGGCACTCACGGCCGGTTGAAACGCTCCCACCCCCCCTCGCGACGTGTGCTGTGTGCCCCCCATAATGATGTGCTACCGAATTCCTGGGGTCTCAGGCATGGGCAGTACCAGCGGGTGGGGTTGGGCTTCCCAGAGCCAGGTGTTCGGCGGAGCGCGGGCGTGCCGTGCATCGCCGAGCGTGCCGCCTCGCGAGAGAAGCGGCGAAACCGGCGGCGACGACGTGCCCGACTCTGCCCGCGCAACCGTCGTCGCCGCGGGCGGAAGAAGCAGAGCCTTGCAGTCGAGAAACTTCAAGGCTATGGTGGCGTGGCTGTCCTCCTCGCACGCCGCTTCGGCTGTCGCCGTAGCCGCCCCGGTCCCCGCGGCGGCGGGAGCTCCTCGCTCCCCGAGGGCGGCGGCGGCGGCGGCGGCGAATCCCGCTGACAAAACCCTCCTCGAGATCGCTCTCGAGCGACAAGATGGCGGCCCGGCCACCGCCTTCATGACCCTCATGTCTCTCGCTCCGGAAGCGCTCGAGGAGGAGGTGGAGGAGGAGGCGGAGGAGGAGGCCAACGAGCCCCTCGCCCTCGCGCTGCGCCTCTACCACGGGGCATCGACCTGGCGGCGCATATCACGGGACCCCCCCCCCCGGCGGCAAGGACCGGGGTCTCGCCTGCACCCGGATAACCCCGGCCTCGCCGCCGCCGTCGACGAAGCCGACGACCGCGAACGCCGTCGGCGCTCTGGCGCCGAGCACGCGGGAGCGCTAGCGCTGCTGAGTGCCGGGTTGGCTGTCTCTCTGCGGGACGCGGGTGCGAAAGGAAGCGGGGGTCGCCGGGGGACGTCTGGGCGGCGTGACGACCTCGAGGACCCCGACCCGTTGGTGGCGCTGGCTCCGCGGGAGGCACTGACGGCGAGTGAGACGCGGTCGCTTGCGAAAGTGCTGATACTGAGAGGTTCGTCTTCGTCCTTGAGACGCGAGCCTGCCAGCAGCAGCAGCAGCAGCAGCGGCAGCGGCAGCGGCAGCGGCAGCGGCGGCTTGGGCGGGAAGGGGAAAGGTCGAGGGGCTGCCGTGGAGGGGAAGGACGAGACTTGCCGAGAGTTGGAGGAGTGGCTCGCTCGCCCCGAAGACGCCGCTAAGAGAAGGAGGAGGTTGTCCCGCGCAGCCCGGCAGGCGGCGGAGGACCTCGTGGCGGGGCGGAAAGAGCGCGACGGAGAGGGCGGGGCTGCTGCTATCGTTGTTCTCCGTCTGACCGACGAAGCGCGAGAGGCGATCCACAGAGTGCACGTGGCTTTCTTCGCCGCGGCCCGGCATGGGCCGCAGGACGCACCGGTCGTCCTTCGCGAGGGTCTCGATGATGGCGTTGTGTTCGCCGGTGCCGCCGCGACCGGTGCTGACGGACACAAAGCGAAGGGGTCGTCGAGATTCGTTGCTGGGAAAGGGAGGAGGCGACCCGCGCCGCGGGTTTTGAGCTGCGTAGAGGCGTTCGCGGAGTACTACAGGCTGGTGAGCCTTTCGGATGCGATGGAGTTGGCGGCCGGTGCAGGAGACCCCGGGTGAGAAAACTGTGTTGTATCGTCGTGAAGGGATGGCCTCTCGACGGCTATGGTGCGAATGAGTCTCTGTGTGTGTCGTCATCCCATCTGTTCTGGCGCCAGTTTCCACCTGCCGGCATACATCGGGGGCATTTTCCGAAGTCCCAAGGGGTCGCGTGTTTTGCAGTTTTTTTACGTACTCCTTTTATTTTTGTTCTCGTTTTCGTCGCCCCCATCCTCGCTAGTAACGACCACCACCACCACTGCTGCTGTCCCAGGCTAGCCTACGGCTCCCTCCACGAGGCGAGCACGGCTCTGTTCCCATCTGGGTGCCCCCTTTGCCGCCGAAATCACCTTCGGCACCGCACCGTAACGGCGGATTCGGTCGATGGGGGGGGGGCAGCCCTACCAACGACGACGACGACGCCCCCTCCGCACTGCGATATCTGCGAGCTGTCGGCGCGGGTTGTCATGCGCGGGGTTGGTTTGATGGAGAGAGATAAGGACTACGACAGCGCCTTCCACTACCTGGACATACTTCTGCAGGTGAACCGTTGACGCTTGTGTTGTAGTGGCAGTAGTGCGCTGCTGCCGTGTGGTCGGCAAAGGGCGTTCATGCTGCGGTAAAATGGCCTTCGGAGTTTCCGTTGCTGTTTTTCGTGGTGTGTAAGGCGAGTGAGGATGGGTGGTGTCCGTGCTTAAAGGCTTCGGTGCTAAATAGGCCGCCGAGGCTGCGGGCCCTCGTCGGGTAAAAGAGATTCTCGCCGTGGATAGACTCTGGGGGCCACCGGAAGAATTGAATTGCAACCGATAGGGGGACGTCAAGGAAAACGTTCCGAACTGACCCGGCCGACGCTGCTGTGTTTGTCGTTTCGTGCACCCTCCGCACCCGGGGCAGTACGAAGTAGCGTCGTGTCGCCACCGAAGTTTTGGGGTCCGTTGTTGCTTGTCGTCGCACTTGTTTCAATCGCCCTCGGTGCGACGTTTCTTGCGGAGCGCGAGCGTCCCTATATATCAACCCTGATCCCGCACTGGCTACAAAATGGCCGCCACCGCACGTCCGGTACTCTTCTCGCGCCTGCGAAACAGGCGTCCTCCCAGAGGCTGAGCGTCCACCGGCCTCGGTACTGGGTTAGGCTGGTGACGGACCTCGGCCACAAGAAACGGTCGATGGCGGCGCTGCAAGCTTGCGAGAAGGCGCTAGCGGAGGCGTCCCTGCCGCCTCCGGCGGAATCGACGGCCGCCTCGCCGGCGGTTACGATGAGGACCCCCGCCGTCGAAGCGGCACAAGGTGCGGAGGACCCGGACTGTTCATTGGTCAACGAATCGCCAAGGGTGACGTCAGCGAAACCGGCCGCACCGGCGACGGCGACGGCGGCGGCGGCGGCCGTTGCGGAGCTAGCGGCCGCGATACTGCCGCTTGGGGAGTCGCTCCCCTTGCTCCGGCGAGCCGTTCGACTCGCCGTCCCTCCGCTCCGCTGGCGCAAGCGCCCACCGCCGAAGCTTAGGGAAGCGCGACTGCGAGTGATGCAGCTCGACCTCTCTTGGCGTCGAGCGGGCGACGCCGTCGGCTCCACCTCGATGACGCCTACCAGAAATCCGCCTTCCCGCCCCGCGACTGCGGCGTCTGAAGAGGGGTTTCCGGAGCGGAGAGAAGCGGGGGAGGGGGAGGGGAGGGTCGGAGGGTCGGAGGGCGGGGATAGGGGCGACGGGGGGAAGGGGCGCAGTGGGTATGAGGGGGGGGGATCGGCGGGGATCGCTCCAGGAACCAGCTTGGAACAGGCGGTGTTGAATGCTATGCTGGCTGAGCTTGAACCTGGTTGGAAGGGCTTGCACGCGGAGAATAGGTGAGTGTTCACCCCTTCGAACACGTTTTTGTCGTTGTTTGTTGTACTGTGTGTTGTGTTTGGCATTGAAAATCGTCCTGACCTTTCCTCATCAAGACAACGACGCGGATTGCAGGCGGGTTACGGAACACAAGTAGCGTGAAGACCCAATAGAAAGCCCTGTTACTCGCGAAAACAAAAGTTCATACCATGAAAAGTCCAGGAAGAGGGCTGGAAACACCTGAAAAGTATGTACAGCCCGTTCGTTCCCTATCGCCATTTTTCTCCGCGGACAAAGTCATTTCCACACCCACCCTCGAGCCAGGCCAAATAAAAAAATTATGTAACACCACGCTGAGAGAGCCGCACACACCTTACATCAGCTCATTCTGACCTAGACAATGTCTGTCTCCATGCACCCCTACGTTGCCGGGGGGGGGGCTGTGTCGTTTTATGCTGCAAACAACTGTGGACAGTAGGGCCACCGTGTCTGTCTTCCTCAAAGCGCTTTGTAGTAGAGCATATATTGGTGGAAGCGTTTTCGTGGCCTAGATAGGAGACTACGGGTGCTTCCGTAGCAAGCCCATCAATAACCAGTATACCCGAACACGCTGCTCCCGCCCTCCCTCCGACGTTTCCACTGGACTCCATGATATGCTGGGGGCAGCATTTGCTTGGGCCTGTTCGCTTTGCTCTGCTGGGACGCCCTGTTTGCACCCCTGGTGCCCGCATCACCCGGGGCAATCGCTGCCACGCCCGGGACCCCCGTTCGCCGGCCACGAGAACCAATGGCCGACGCCTCGGGGGAACCTGCCCCCATCGCCAAAGAGCCGCGTAATGGCCAAGAAGAGGGAGAACCGCAGGACCCGCATTGTTCGGCCAAGCCCAGTGGTCGCTGCAGAGGGAGTGGTGCACGGTCGGGAGGCTCGACAGCAGTGGCTCGAGTTAATCTCCCCGACGGTGCGTCTGCGTCCATGGGCGGAAGCACCTGCTTCGAAGTCACTCGGGATGACCCTTCTCTGTCAGCGGGTGGTGAAGAAAACGGTGTTTTCTACCCGTTCCCCTCGCCGTTCCAAAGCGAGCCGGCCGACCTGATGACTCCCGCCTTCGCCAGGCGGCGTCGCAGTCTGTTGGGAGGCGTGTTTGAGAGCATCGAGCGTGGGCGCGCGGTGGCGATGATTCGCCAGGCGTGGTCGAGGCACTACGGCAAGGCGTGTACCGGTGAGGAATGCGGCTGATAGCATGACGAGAAGAAAACTAGACACCGTGTTCTTCTGTGGCGCGCGATGCACTGATGTATCCTATTTTCGGGTCTTCTCCCGACTGCATGGTGGGCATGAAAGGCGGACCTTACCGTGTCGTCCACCACGCTTGTACGTGCTGGCACACGTGTTGGTGGTTATGAGATATGGGAAGAAACCATGGCCTTAGGTACAGAAATATTTCATGTCCTACCTTGAGACACAACTCGCAACATGCAACGGAAAAGCACCATTCCGATACGTGTACATTTTTACGGACGCAGGTCTGAACTGGAACCTGTTTCCTAACGGAGTGGAGGGCTGGGCTACCGTGGCCTCTGCCATTGGACCTCTGCCGCTGTCGTGCATTTGCAGGTCCGTTTCCAGCGGCTCTTTTTTTATTGTGTGACGAGATGATTATCGTGGCTAGCATGTCAAGACGCTTATCGTAGCTGGCATGGCGTTGTGTACCCCTCCCGGACACATCTCTCTTGCCACTCTCTGTCGCCCAACGTAGGTGGCAGGAGCCCTCTCCCCCCCCCCCACTTGCTCTGTAAGGGGTTCGTTCCGCTGTTTTCTCCCTTGCCTTTCCGACCGCTGTTTATGCACTGTTGCTGTGTATGCCGCCTCCCTAGTTCTACTGTCGAAAGCGTAGGGAAAGTTGCGGACCACCCTCGGCGCCACGAAACTGCATGTGGTTTCCTTGGGGTGCACAAGATCACACACACACACACACACATCCTTGACCGATTTTTCTAAGCCCGATTACTTCACGTCGAACAGCATTCGATTCCGAAATGTTGTGGTGTGGTTTCGCATGGTCTCAACGAGACGGTTCTAACGCCTCCATTTTCGACGTCGTCACTGGCGTAGCTCCAGAGTAATCGACCTTTGAGTCGTCGTCCAAGGGAGTGTGATATCTTACACAACATACAAGCTACGGCGGCATTGCGCCCCCTCGCGTGCTTTTGTCAGGTTACGCGAAAATGAGGGAGAAAGCAAATCGTGTGTCTCTCGCCACGGGTTTCCTATGCCCTCCTAGAGTGAAGTCGAAATTTGCAAAGTTTTGTTGTTCCCCATGGTGCCCACTCGTGCTCGTTGTTCTGTATCCGTCCGTTTTCACGTTAATTTCCCTTCTATCGGTGCCGGTTTTTTTTTTCGTATGCTGCTGCCGTTTCGGCCTCCCGTCACAGAAACCTGGCTTCTAACTACTGGGCGTGGCGGCACGGCTTGCCGGACCTGTTCCTCTGGCGCGAAAACGCCGCTGCCGAACAGGCCGCCACCGCCGAAACAAGCAGGTGCCCCATGGCGGGTTCGTCCGACCAAGACGCCAGCGATTTTGGAGCGGACTCTGACCCAGCGGGGTCTCAAGCAACGGTCTCCTTGGACAAAGACAGGAGGAAGAATGGTGGGGGCCGAATGGCTACGACAGCGGACGTTGAAGTGCTGCCCAGAAAAGAGGCGTGTTGCAAGTGGGTTGAGGTCAAGGGGCCCGGGGATAGTCTCAGCTGCGCCCAGGAGGCGTGGATCGATGCCCTTGTTGGTGCCGGGGCGGACTTTGCGGTGCTTCGGGTTGAGGACGCCGCCGCCGGGTTACCTAGATGAAAAATCGTCTTCATTTAAATTAGAAGATTGGCATATAATCAAATTTTGCTCTTGTGTTGTAAACTAGTCTATCCATTTAGCCATCCAGGACCAAGCGTGGCGTGGGCTGTTCGGCCGAGAACGGCGTTGAGTTTGGAATAGTGCCCGGCTGTGGGTGGTCCTTGAGGTTGCAGGCTGCATGTACCCTACTGGGTTGTTTTCAAATTAGCACAACAAAGATAAGGCGCGCGGATACGGCCTTTTAGCAATAACTACTCGGGTCGGGCACCTAGAAAAAATTGATGAAAAACATTTACGGTACAGCTGGCTGATATATGCCTTGCTGCTTTTCTGGGTTCGTTTCTTGGCTTCCGCGGAGAACGCCGGAGCAGTGTTTCGTGGGTACACTCCAAACGGGCTCCAGCCGGCGGTGGTGTGCACTACACCTAAGTTGCCCGCGGGCCTCGATTTCTCGATTCTTTATTTACGGATGGATGCCCCTGTTCGCTGCTATTTTTCCGGTTTTCTACAGACAGAAGTTTCACTGCATGCCGCCCCACACAAAGCGCGAAAACTTTTCGTACAGGCCTGTATGTACAAGGTGCTTGTTCGTGAGTGCAGGTGATGGAAAGAAATGCGAAACTGTAGGTAGGCGGAGTTAAGAATGGCGAGGAGGAATGGGATGGTGGCAATATTCCGCGTCAGATGTAGGCATCGGAGTAAGTTGTAGTCTCCAAACGACAACACACGGTGACAAGGTGATTGATCGTTAGAGACAGGCGGCCAACAACCCACCATTGCCACCCTTTCCTACAGTCATCAGATGAACCACAAATTTGTCGGTGGCTTCTGTTCTGCCGTTCTGTCGTTCTGGCTAGAGCTACGAATACCGATGTGCAGGGACGAAGCGAAGGATCGTAGGATCGTGAATCAATCGTCCATCGTGAACAAAATGCGGCGCAACTGTTGCCGCTTCGATAAAACCGTCAACTGTTCGACCGCAGCACCTCTACAGCTGCAGCCGCCCTTCAACCTTCAACGCCTTGGTCGATGGTGTGTACCGACAGCGGCATGACTTTGCGGGCGTGATAAATTGCAGTTCCTGTTGGTTGTGTCGCAGACGACGGGTCGCCGACAGCCCACTGTGACTGCTGTGCCCAGTCGTGGTGTGTCGCCGGCGACGCGGACGTGCCGTGAACACGCCTGGGAGTGACTCTCTCCGGCGTTGGAGCAAATGGGACATCATCAATCTTCTTTCAACAAGGCCAACTTTAAGCGTGGGATTCGAGGATATCGCCAAATGTTTGCCTCGCTGGACCTGGAGCAAAAAGAGCTGAAGAAGCTCTGGATCGAGTTCGGAAAGATCGATACAGACAACGGCGGGACGGTGCGCATTTCATTTGCGCCGGGAAAAAAGGCAGAAAGTGTTTCTGCGTGTAAACAGTCCGGTGGAGATGGGAGGGTGCGGCGCCACACGTGCTGTGGATTCTCTCGTGAACCCCGTGATTTGATACCGATACATACGCCGACATCAAATACAGTAGCTAGTAGTTGACCAAGGACATGTTATTCGTGTGCGGGGCGCATCTACTTCCTCTCTGTGCCAAGAGGTAGCAGCATCGCCTGCAGTGCTCGTAACCTGTATGGCTTAGACAACACTCCGTGTGATATATCTCCGAGCTGTTTGCACCGCACGCACAAAGGAAAGGGGATGCACAACATGCACGTGTGTGCGGTGAGAATCTACGCACACTGGCAAGACCCGGGGGACTTATTTTGCTCAAGCCGTGTACTTCCGTATGGCCCTCATACATTGTATTCCAGATGTACCGATAGCGCTCTTGATGAACAGCTTTGATGAACAGGCCGTGAGCTCCCGTTGGCAACTCTGAAGCGCATTTTGCACACTCTCGATCTCAAACTGATGCCTGGTTCCAAGAGGGCACACTGCTCATATGTCCTCGTCACGGCGTTTTATTGCAAATACCAACGACTGTCGAACACACCCTCCTATATACACGCCTTGACCAGGTGAGCATACGAGAGCTGCTCTCTCATTGCGACCTCGACTTCACGCCCTTCGCATACCGCCTATTCGGGTGAGATTCATCTTCATGGTTCCTGCCAACAAAAACACTCGAACCCAAGTATGTGGAAGAATAATCCAATGTACAGGCTGGGCTATGTATCAACCTCTCGCCTCATCATCGACTGGGTGTGGCAAGGGGTAATCCAGACGTGTCTCTACTCTTCCCGAGTAGGGTTGGCGCCTCGGCTAGTGTTGGGAATACTGTATAGCGTGTTGTATTCACATCCCGCGCAGTATCTCTCTTTCCCGGGTGACCCCGGCGCCACTCGCGCGCCAAAGGACTATGTACCAGTTTTTCTCTAGCACTATGCATATCAGTTCCACCATATATCAGTTCCATCATCACATGTATGTTCGGTAACAAACAACCTTTTTCGGACATCACTCCTCCGCAGACACAACGCATATCGTACATGAGCGGTCAGATACATCTATGCCTGTCCTCCTTCCCATGCGCTCGTGCGACGTAATATATGATGCCATGCGACAGCATATTCGATGTGGACGATTCCGGGGCCGTGGACTTCCGAGAATTCGTAGTCTCGACTTGGAACTGCTGCACCATGGTACGCACAACAGTGCACGACTCCTTCCAACCCCTCCCCTAGTTGCGGCATGCAGGGATAATCCCTCACGTACGTATGGTCGACCATAGAAGAACCTTGCATGCTGCCGCAGGCGGGGCCAAACTTTACAACCGTGTGCTCATGTCGAATGTGCCGGCGGCGGGTGCACCATGTACTACATATGTCTTCTAGAGTTCTCACCCCTAAATGGCAGATGAAAGCTTGGTGACGTTTACTAGACAATCCTGCTCCCCCGTTCCGTGCGTACCCATTGCTGCAGAACCACGAGTCTCTTGTACGCTTCGCTTTCGACCTCTTCGACCGAGACCACAGCGGTGCAATTGAGGTGGGTGGCAGTGGATGCCAAGCGGTTGAGTGCCTATGCAGGCATGCGATCCCCACCGGAGGGTGTGGCGGAGGGTGTGAAGTGAGTACGTTAAGCAGGATCGATTGCGACCCCCACTCAACATCTCCATTAGATGATCGTAGCTGCTGCTCGTGATAGATCTCAAAATTGGTGATTCGTGCGCCATTCCCGTGGTGCAGACGGCCGAGATGGAGGCTATGCTCCGGGAAGTCTACGGGGAACATTTTGCCGATAGCCCTGCCGCGGCCCTGACGTTGAAGCGAGTTAAAGGTGAGCCGCGGGTTACGCCTGTCTTCGGACCGCGGTGTGGAAAGCTTGGGGCCTGGACGCATGAATACACAGCTCCCGTTGCGTGTGGTGTTGAAGATCTGTTAGCACAGCACCATAACCGGCGCGACACGTACGTACCAAGAAGATCGAGCACCGCGCTCAGCTTAGGACCGGCGTTATGAACGCATCGTCGGCGTTTGCGAGTCCGGCCAATAGTTCTGGCTGCAGAAGCATCGATCACGGTACCCATCGTGCCGCTGAAGAGCGCATCTATATACCACCAATGACAATTGTCTCTCCCTTCTGTTCTCCTCTCTCTCGCCCCGCCTACTCGCGTGCCCCCTCGCCGCAACCGTCACGTCTAGAGCTCTCGTCATCGAGCGACGCTGGACCAACGAACGAAACGACGCTCCTAGCTCTGGCCAAGAATGGGGTTCAGGTGGGCCCTGACGGTCGGATCTACGCCCTCTCGTTCGAGGCGTTCAGGTGCACGTTGCTTTTGCGAGTGGTCGACCTTGTTACCGTGATTGCACCTGCAATGACAGCCTGTTTCGAACAACCGTAACATAAGCAACACGTCCGACCTGTATAATATTAGTACAGCCTGTATCCGTCAAACGTTCAGCGACATGAGAAGATAATTGTTTTTGGTGGCACCGCGCTGACGCCCGCTGCCCGTTCTCCAATACCCCGTCCTGCTTGCCACTACCCCTGCCCTTGCCCGCTGTTCTCGGTGCCGCACCGAAGGGAATTTTGCCGTCAGCATGCCGGGATGCTATTTCCAGCCTTCACCCTGCAGAAGCGTGTACGGTCCAAGATCGTGTCGGAAGCGTTCTGGAAGGTGAAGCCGCTCGTGAATCGATCCTTGTCTGTATGCAAGCCCGATGAAATGTGGACTACTCGGTACAGTACTCGCACTTCAGACCTACGGTAGTTGTGCGGGGTGTCTAATCCCCCCTCACCTCCGTCCTGATATCCTGTTTGAAAAGGGATGCGCTGATAGGAGGAACGGAGTGCGGCCAGGTCGAAATAAGGGCAAGGGGGGGAAACGCTCATCGCGAAAAGCCATCCAGCTCGAGCACCTCTCTACAATGATGAATTTGGACGAGAAGAGCGCGACAGGCACCACCACCGACAACACCCCGGCCCCAAACGGTTCGGCCACGGGAACGGCCAACACAACAGCCCAGGGGAATGGCTGCGCGCAAACTCCGACAAAGGCGTTACCCTCCCCTTCCCCCGCCCCGGGCGACGAAATAAAAGCACCGTCGGAGGCGAGGAAGAGGGGGAGCGGCGGAAACGATGATTCCAACAACTCCTCGGGCTCGTCATCGAAAACGCCTGCGACGGCGGGAAAAACAGATGATGCGGCGGGGTGCGATACCCCGGATGGGGCTGGGGAGAAGGAGGAAGGGCAGGCTCGGCGTGGAGGGGACGGGGGGCACGAAAAGGGGACAGGGGACGGGGGCACGCCGAGGAAAAGGAGGTCGGGCTCTAGGGGAGTCGTGGCTGTGGAAGGAGATGAGGGCAGCTGGGGAGGAAGCGAGAACAAAACCCCTAGGTTTTCAATGCAGGTGACGTGCTCCAGACTTCTCCTTTTTTCCCTAGTCGATGGAGTAATTTATTTCGGAAAGTGACCTCGACGTAGTTGAGGTTGCTCACGGAAACGAGGGAGCCAAAGAACACTGTTCACCCTGCGTTAGAGGTGCCGCGAGGGAGAAACCCTGCAGTTTTTTTGCCCCGTCCCAATACCCTACACCAGCAAGCGCGGTGGACGGGTGATGCAACGTCTGATGTAGCCTTTCCGGGCGATTTCGCCCTCTACCCGGACGATTTCGCACTCCATGTGTGTTTCCCTTTAACTCCGGTCGGCATGGTATGTTCGTGTGAGTGCGTATGTAGTCGGATCTGTAGACGAGATGACTGTTTCAGGTGCCCTGCATATAGGTATGCGTTGGGTAGTACGTCCAGAGAATGATTGTGCGGAGCCCCCACGCCAGCTGCTGTCAGCTGTCGCGCGCGTGGCACTCCCTGCTCTTTCCCCCCAACCGGGTGTGAGAGATAACAAGCATCTCAACATCAAGCACTGCATTCACTACCAAGACAACAAGGGTGTACCACTTAGGGTTGACGAATATGGTACAATACTACTAGCCCTTCTCCGCGCCCGAAAAGCAATTTTGAGTTCCCCCCCGAGGCGCCGAGCACCTAAAAAAGCAACAGTCCCCTCCCCTACTGTAGTGCGCCCATCCCGAAAAGAGATGCCCCCGGGAAAGTGAGATGATAGAAAGCGCCGACTTGTGTCCTTGAAATACACCACCGTAGATATCATGACAAACCCACCCGAACGTTTGCGCTCGATGTTCGGAAAAAGACCAAAAAGTATGCAATCCTGTGAGACCATGGCGCCACTTACTTTACGTACGTTCTTGAGAACCGTAAAGTAAGCGTAGCGTGTTTTTTGTGGGGGTTTGCAATCTGGAGCTGTTTTCCTTCGGCGTCCGTGGATTTCGTTGGAACCTCTGCGGCAAAGCGGTGCTGTTTTAGTCTCCAAAATGAACTTCGTAGCCTCCGGGGCTCGAGAGTGTCCACAGCCAAGCATAGGAGCCGCCAGGATTAACAGTGGTTACGTGAGACTTCACCTCGTCCCCAAGACGACATGCTCAGGAAGATAGATAGATGCCGATAATACTGTAAGGAGGCGGCTCGAGCTACCGTGCTTGACCCATTCCGACGACCCAAGAGCCTTCGGCAACTCGTGCAGCCAGTTCTTGCTCGTTAGCTGCATCATGTATTCGTACATACGCATCGATCAAGGTCCCCGCCGCCGACTGTCTCATGGCTCCACAGGCGCCGCAAGCCTCGAGGGAGGGGACCACCACTCATCGGGTTAGCGGGACCCCTAGTCACGGAGGAGGCGCTTCGCGACCAGCAACTTTGAGACAAGGAGCGCCAACTAACGGTCCACCGACAGGAACGTCTGCGACGGACAATGCAGTGAAAACACCACAGCCCCGGCAAACCTACCCGTTGCCTGTTGACGCGGGGGGACGCGGCACCAGCGCGTGGGCGCGCGGGGGCGGCGAGGAGCCTATGATCGGTGGGGGCGGCATGCCTCCTGGTTTGGCGGGGGGCGTGGGCATAGAGGAGAGCGCACCAGGGAGACGGCAAAAGAAAGAATCGCGCGTGGATTCTCCGTTGGCCGCCGCGGCGCGAGCGGCGGCGGTGTACGAGCTTCCCGCTCTGAGAGAGACGGCCGCCACGAAGCAAAGAAGTCACCATGTGAGTCGCTTTTTCGACAAATCATGTGCAGCAGCGGAATACTGGGGTGTGTGACAATGGTGCAACATCATAGCCGGTAACGTATGAATATAGTGTATAGTCTTGTTTTGATCGTGTCAATAGAGAAGTAAATGCCGCGCGGGATAAGATGCATGCGCAATTGCAGGAGACCGGGCGGGATGGCACCAGACACCCCCCATCCTCGCCTGTCAAGAATCAGGGGTTGGAACTCGAACACGTGGCCACCATATCCCCCGCCCCCCCTTTGTTGCCCAAGTTCCAAATGCGATGTCCATCATGTAGCATCACACCTCTCACCCTTCTTGAAAGTCGCCGAACATTCATGCTACCATTTGTGTTTCGCGAAATAAATAATGGCGCGTGTCTCGCGCGGATAGCATAGTGCGAGGAGGGTGGTGAACAACGGCGATGCATGAAAGTGCCGTGTAGAGCGTATAACCTGCCTGTTCACCCTCTCCCGGTGATTGCAGCAGCAACGTGTTCTTTGTTCGTGCCGGTAGATCAAACATGTTCAGAGTCTATGCACAGGAAGGTTTGTTCGAAGAGCAGATAGAATAAACTGGTGTTTATTTTGTAACAGTCGAATTAGAATTTGGCTTCATTTTCTATCGGGGGAATATTCGGTATTGTAGAATGGTGTGTACCATTTGAGGACTTGGTCAGTTTTGGGACTCATGCGGTTGCAGTCGTAGTCCCCCGGCTGGTATTGTGGGGAGAGAGATGGATTTGTAACAGTTGACGCCGGCCTTCGCAGCTAACGCGGCCGGAGAGACGATGAGCGTTTCGTGCGTCTCTCTCCCCAACACGTAGCCTAGAAACCGAAGAAATAATGAAGCAATTCGAAAGAAAACAAAATAAATACAACGTTTTCTGTAGTGGGGACAGTGATCCCGTCGTTTCGCAAGGGGTGTGCGGACAATGACAGGAGAACGATCTACCTCGAGCGAGCCTGACCGAAAAGCAAGGCGTACAAACCGACCTACGGTATACGTACTACTGTATCTCTGCGACAGCCGCACGGGCAAGGCTTGGCTTTCCACGTTGAAATTTATTTCTGCGTGGACCGGACAACATATACACTTTTGAGACTATTAGTTAGGGTGGATGCATGCCTGCATACATAGTCTCTACAGCAAGCAGTAATAATATTGTAGCAAGTGGCTATTTCGTGCGCCCCCCTTCCGTGTGTTTGGAATATCCCAGGCCCGCGACCTGGTTGCCGGGAGCAGGGAACGCGGAGGGAGACCGGCATCCGCGGGCGGCAGCCACTCTCCCAACGCCCGACAACGTCGGCGGGAGACGGGCCAGGCCGCCGCCGCCGCTAGGGCCGTCGCAGGCGTTGCCGCTTGTGGTGGCCACAAAGCTGAGTCACCGTCGACAACACCGCACGCTAATGCTAACAACGTCGTTCGAGACACGCACGAGCACCATCATAGCCCGCGTGCTTTTCATGACCATAGGACCGTGCCGGAAAACAATCGAGCCACCCACAGCTAGAGGTGCGCGTACATAGTAACCTCCCACCGTGTTCCCAGGCAAAGATAATGGCGAACCCCATGATAATCAAGATATGTACATGCTTCCCAAAAGAATACGTGAGTAAGAAAACTCCGATGTGGACTTTCCTTCTGTGTGGATTCAGCTGGTGGTACGCCAAAAAAAGTCCCCGAAACGCAAACGTCGAAACTAGAAAGTGGCGTGTTTATGGACGAATGGGATGACCAACAACAAATAAACGCCTACATACAGAGCATATACATACCGGTTTGTGTCAAGATTTTGTGTGCGGGGATAACAAGGCCATGCGGTGGCGAGGCGGCTACACTTGCTCGTCCTGGATTATCGCCTAATAGTCGGCAAGATGTCATGTACGTCGAAAGCATTCAGGACTGACAGGGATTTCAGCAAAGGTAAGGGTGGAGCCAAAGCCAAAACGAGTCATCATGTCATGACTTCCGGCGTCGGTACAAAAGGACCGGACGTGGAAACTGCGCGGAAAAAACGACTGGAAACGCACCGCAGGAGGGAAAGGCAGAGTGGTGGAAAATTACTTTTTTGTGACCCTGGCTGGTGCGTCAAACGTACATCGAGAGGTGTAGACTGTGGCGCCCAGAACAGAAAACAAAAAAAAACGCGAGTTCGCCAGCGAACCCACTTCGGTGGGCGTTCGCGCCGTGGGCAAGACACCCGAACCGTCGATTCCTTTGAGTATACGACGGGGAAAATCTGCTCACAAGAAATTGAGTGAGAGGGGCAGAGGACAATCCTGGGGGAGAGGGGGGTTGAGAGAAGCGCACGCGATTTCACCGACTGTGCGTATATGTATTGTGGCGCACGTCTGATCAAGAGGCATCAGAACCGGGTGTCGGTTGTTTCTCGGCGACTGACAGCGTGGATCACAATTAATCAACTCACGCGCAAGCGACCAAAAAATAACAATACAACGCCCGTGGGGACGCACACCACGGAACCCCCCGGGATAAATACGGCACCCCCGTGCGGAGGTGCGGGCACACCACGGACCCCCCCCCGTGATAAACACGGCACCCCCCATGAAGGAGGTGCGGGTGCCCCACATTGGTCAGATAGACAACATTCATGAGGGAATCGCTTCTTCTCCCCGCGAGGGCGGAACCAGCGATTCGAAAAAAAAGAAGGTACTTCGTTGCAATCCACCAGGTGACCCGGTGAAAGAATCCATGCATCATTTTATTCATCTTCTTCGTTCTTACGAACCAATCACGGGAGACGTCCAACTTGCCTGCTGGAACCCTCTCTCCCACCCCAACCTCGTTCACACCCTCCCCTCCTCTCTCTCTCTCCCGTCTACCGCTACCTGTAACATACAATAATTCGAGATTGATTGCGATTGATGTGATGTCGTTGCACCAACCACCCTACAGTATCTCGCACTCGACGGTATCCCAAAGACTCGACCATCCGCCTCCTCAGTCTATTTCACACAAGTAAACAATGCTGATGGTACGCATGTGCCGGTGAATCTACACACGCTTCTTATCTAACTATTTTCTAGAACGGACGAAAAGGCCTAGAAAGAGTAAAAAACAAACGACACACGACGCTGCCACCAAATACCACCACCCCGCAAGTTAGTGCGTGGACTCGTCTCCCATAATCAATCGCCATCACACGATGAAACTAAACCTAAATTGAACATCGGCTACCACCGTATTTTGCTCTACCCCCTCCTCTACCAAAATGGTCGGGACTTCTAAACGCATCCGATTTTGTCTCCTTTATTGCCCTCTGCCCTCTGATCGACACGCTGTCTTCCGACAATCCATCCATTGCCGGCTAGCCGGAAGAAAATATCTACTACTACTGCTGTTACCAACTGCAAAGCACGAAAATACCCAGTTTTATTTTTCTGTTAATCGCCGCAGCAGCACCGCAACAACAGTGGCAATCCATCCATTTACCACAGAAACACCGCAAAATTCACGCCAGGTCCAGCCGCCGCTACTACAACACAACAACACGAACGACAAAGCTAACTACTATTGCATGGACATGATTTCGAAGGGAACACTTCGCTGAAATATAGAAGGCAGAGAAACGGATGCAAGGATTTGCACATCCCTCAGGCGACCCTTAGGCGTGGACATTTGTAGTCACAGCAGCATGCCCGAGACAGGGCAGCCGTAAAAAAAAGATGCACCGATCATATTTTCACGCCCGAACGCACCCATTATGTGATACTCTCCAAACTGTTGGACAAGTCTACTTATCAAGGGTGGTATGAGATTTTTCGTTGCTATTATAATAAAACTCCTTCACACCAGTAAAAAAATACCCGGTACATGAAAAAACGAAAAAACATATGCTGTTCTCAAACAATCAGAGGAGTTTTTCCTAAATAAATGCAGCTGTCCCATCTCGTAAAACTGCTGTCATATGCATGCATACGAATAGAACAAAAATGGTGCATGAACAAAAACGAAATGCCTACACAACACGACACATCAAAAATAAGAGGCAACACCAGCAGCGGCGGCGGCAATACACACAACACCGCGCGTCGAAGCCGTTTGCAAAGAATGTTTGATTCAAGATTAGTTGGGCACCCATGATTGCTGCACTGAGAGCACAGAGCACACAGGGCTCTTTACAATCTTTGGTGGCTGCCATTGGGCTGCCCCCCCCCCCCCCCCCAAAAAAGGGAGAAAAAAAAATCTACACACCCAACCCCTTTTTGGGAGGAAAGTATAACACAAAAAAGCGGTCGCATGGTGTGGAATAATGCGAGGAACACACGTGGAACGACGCATACAGCAGCGACAACAGAAAAAAGGTCGGCCGCTCATCATCTCCACACAAAACAAAACAAGTCGTGCCGCGTACGTTGCATGACAATGATCTCCTTTTCAAGGTTTTGAAATCATGCATTCGTGCACAGAGCGCAACAGGGAGCATCCGCACACGACACATCAGCAGCGCCAACTGACAATGGAAACAGACAAGGAGGGGAGGGCATCAACCGCCTCCTGGCAACAAGACGTGCACGCAGAGAAGGACGGTAGGGAAAGAGCGAGCGACAGAGTCCCACACACACTCACTTCCGTCACAGGAGGAGCGAGTCAACCGACATCATCATCCACATACATACATGCACGCACACAAAGGGGACCTAACGCAACCACGGGCAAACCAACGCCGACTGCCTCTCACAATTCGATGAACCCAAACCTATCATCTCCAGCTGTGGGAGAAGCTTCGCGCACCCCCGCCCCGGTTCTGCTGCTGCCTGGCTGCTGGCTGCCTGCCACATGGCACACAGCCGGTGGGCCGGTTCATACCGCAGTAGTACAGCAACAATCAGCCACCCCGTGTCAGCTTCCCCATTCCTCCAGCCAGGCGTCGACATCGAGCGACCTCGAGAACTGCTGCAGCTCCGCCGGCGAGTAGCTCAAGTCCTTCCTCTCCTCCTCGGTCAGGTGGTGGCCGTAGCCGTCGTGGATCATGTCCTCTCGGGTGGAAAAGGAGACTCTCTTTCCGGCTCTTCTTCGTGGGAAGAAAACCCCAAAGTTGAACGCAATTGCAGTGCAGGCCGTCAGGGCGGCGGTGATCGCGATTCCGTCCCTCATGCCGCGACACGTGCGCGTGCGTGGCCTCTCTCTCTCTGTCTCTCTCTCTGTCTCTCTCTCTGTCTCTCTCTCTCTCTCTGTCTGTCTGTCTCGTAGGCGAAAGCTCCCTGACTTGTCTCGGCAACCACGGCAACAGTAGCGAGTGATTTTTGTGCACAGCAGGGTGTGGACAACAACGTGTGCTCGCGGTAGTTTCGTGTATGTTCAAAGAGCCAGTGGATCTGGATAGTCGGTGTGACCCGACAAAGTAAACCTGACTGAGGTGGCAGTCAGAGTACCTCATATGGACCGGATGGGGTACACAAACGAGCCTCAAAATTGAAATTGATTTCCAAAAAGAGGACAGCAAAGGGTACCACTGATAGTACCTTGTTGCATGACATAGGATACCGCACCCCCCAGACCGAGTTTTATAGTTCGACATCACCCACAGGAGGGGGTGCCAAAACTGGTGTGGGAACCGTCTTGTTAGGAGCACTTCGAAATCGTCTCAATTGATCTATTAGGTATACATACATCCTCTTCGTCGTGGAGCACTCGATCGAGAAAAAAACAAATTTGTCCCAGCAAGGGGTGTGGTATCTTGTGTCGCTATCGGGCGACTAAATAAATATGCGGTGCCCCCTTTTGAATTAATGCCGAGGGCACGTAACCCAAAATGCACATAGAAGAGGAGCCAAGACAGATTTAGCGGAGAGAGAGCAGAGGAGGAGCAGCTGCAAATCACGATGGCCGAACCAGCGCAAGAAGTAGCCCCTCCACCCGGCGAAGACGACACGCAGGCTCAGCAGCCGGTTCTCCCGAAGGAGCAAGAAGGGGCGGCGCCATCACCAGCGGCAGCGGCAGCGGCGGCGGCGGACCCAACGACACTAGTGGACACCGACCAGGAGCTTGAGCAGGCGCTTCGCGCGGCGCTCGCGGGCCCGGGCAAGGACCTCGGCCTGCTGTGCAAGACCCTGGGGGACAGGTTCTGCCTCGAGCCCAGGCGCAGCAGCAGAGAAGACGCGCAAGCCGTATGCGACTCTGGATCGGACACCACCTCTCCGGCTGACCAGGAGCCCAGCAGCGAGACGGACGGGGACAGCAGTGCGAGCGGGAGCGGCGGGGGCGGCAGCAGCAGCAGCAGCAGCAGCAGCAGCAGCACGGCCGAGAGGGAAAGCAGGGAGGACGACCTCCAAGCCGTGTCTGCGGCAGCTAAGGTGAATGGGGAGTCTTCTGTGTACGCCCCTGCTGAAAGTTGCGAGCCTACATACGCATCGCAGCAGCAACTCCTGTAGTCTAATGCCAGACTTTCGGACGAGAGAGTCTCGTTTCGCTTTCGCGCGCAACATGCGTTGGTTCAAAAATGGCGCTTGTCATCACGCGTGTGCGCTACACTTGGCGGGTGTGTACGACGTGAGAGTTGCAACAAGGGTTTGTTTGGTCTGACCGCCGAATCAAGGGTAAGACTGCATTCCTACGCCATTCCACTTGGTAGGTCGAAGAAAAGTACACACTCGCAACACAGCAGTGTTTTTCTGAGAACCCACAACATGCAAGATACGCTAGCCGTGTTTGAATTCAGAGAGGTCTTGGTGCTTTCAGGTGACTTAAGATCTTGAGATCCTTCCGAAACCTGCAGCAGTATGTAAGTATGCATAGAAGTATACATGCACCGCGGTACGATAGTGCAACCACACCCCACCGCTCTTCGCTGTGATCAGGATCCTTGCAAGCACACACCTGGCTTTGAGTGCAACAGACACAGCCTACGAACACACCATTTAGTTTAGGGGTGTAAGGGTCATACCAGGAAACGCTAAGGGTCACCTATGATGGTGCATCCGCGTGCGTGTGTGCCTTAAGGTTGATGCGAAATGGAGCTTCTGCCGCTAGCTATGCATGGGCTCTTGATGCCGTTTGTGCACAGCAGCAGAAGTACAGCCAGTGAGAGGAACTCACGCCTCTCGTGATGCGGGGGGCGGGCGGCAACGTTTTCGATTCAGCCGAGCATTCACGCAGGGAACACTCGGGCGCTCCTCCCCCCCCTTCCCGAACGAGTTTGACCGGCCGACAACAGAGAATGCGATGTCATCCCCCCTCGTCCCACCCCCCCCGTACATTCTTGACGGCTGACAGCAAGAGAATGTGATGCCATTCTCTCCCCACCCACGCCCCCATCTCTCTACCTCGCCCCATAAGATCTCCGCCGATCTGCTGTCGAGTGCCTGGAACGCGCTGTCCGCTTGGCGCGAAGCTATCTCCGTAGGAGAGCTGTTGGATGTGTTCAACTCCATGGAGGGCGAATGGTACCTCGGAAAGGTGCTCCACACTGTAGACGAAGAGGAGGAGGGAGGGGAAGGGAAGCCGGAGTTGCAGGCGATGGAAGTGGACGGGGAGGGGGGGGAGGGGGGGGCGGTATCGGCGGCGGGAGGCGACAAGGAGACGACGCTCTTTCGGATCCACTACCAGGGTTGGCCCAATAAGTGAGTAAGGAAGAGAGCAAGGTACAAGGTGGGGGGAGAGATCGATGCCGCAGGAGCTAGGTTTAGGGGCCGCACCTGAGTAGGGGTGAGAGGAGCGGAGGTGGACCGCTAGGATTTGGAGAACAGGTGGAAGAAGGAGAGCTATAGAAAGATAAGGCATAGACAAACAGATCTACAGGCAGGCAGGCAGGCAGGTAGAGAACAGGCAGACGACAGACAGACAAGACAGACAGGCAACAGGCAGAGAAGACAGACAACTGACAGGTAGGCAGGCGGGCAGGCAATCAAGCGGGCGGACACAGACAGAGAGCGGGAACGAGACGCGCAGCCAGCAACCATTCATCGTCGCATCATCGCCCACTCGGCCCAGCTGGGATATTCTGCTGTTCGATCCATGTGTTGTACCGGCGTTCATCCGTGTACACCTGTTATCAAGGCTTTTTTTGGATAGAAG